AAACACTTCTTTATCACCTTTGCTTTCTATATAGAAAATGTTTTATCTTTGACAGGGTCCATGGTGATAGGGTTTAAGCTCTCTCCCACCCCCCACCAAGATACTGACCACATAAAGAAGCTTTCCCATTTTATGGCTCTAATGTTTCACATTAGTAATGAGATTTAACCTAGAATGACAAATTTAAACCTGGAAAGCACTTTAGAGACCATTTGGTCCAGTGGTTTTCAAGCTTTTTATTTTTTTTTAACAGTAGAAATCTGTATTCAAATTAAATGTATAAAGAATACCAAACTAAAATAGTTAAAAGTAGAAGTGACGTAGTTCACTCTGAGAGGCACCCCACATCCTCTTCCCTCTCAGCCCCTAAGTCACACTCTGATCAAACCCAACCTTCTCATTTTGGAGAAAATTAAGACCCAAACAATTTAAGTCGCTTTCCCAAGTCCACATGTGGTGATTCAGAGTTGAAAGTAGAGAAGCATAGACTCTGGAACCAGACTGCTTGGATTTGAACCCAAATTCTGCTACTTACTATATGACCTTTTGCAAGATATTTAACCTCTCAGTTTCCTCATCAGTAAATTAGAAATGAGTAGTTGTTGTGAGGATTAAATATTAACACATCTATAGCAGCGGTCCCCAACCGTTTTGGCGCCAGGGACCAGTGCTCCTATGAAAATCTAATGCCCGATGATCAGAAGTGGAGCTGAGGTGGTGATGCTAGCACTGGGCAGTGGCTGCAAATACAGATGAAGCTTCATTTGCTCGCCCACTGTTGACCTCCTGCTGTGCAACCTGGTTCCTAACAGGCCATGGACCGGTACCAGTCCAACGTGCTTTGTTCTTTAACAGTGTGTGAATCCCCACCAACCCCGACAAGATCCAGTTGGCCACCCAGTCATGCACCAGTCAGCCATTGAACACACCACAGGGGAAGCTGTGTAGTGTGATGACTTGCCTTCCATCTCCCAAGAACTCTTCCTGGCAGTAGTCACCAGCACCATAGCTCATGCAAAGATCATGTAAGGAAATAAAAGATGCTCCTGTAAGTTAGAGAAATGCATTAACAATTTTATATTCAAATTGAGACCTTATTCTATATTTAAATCAATTAAGATTATTCATTTCCTCTTCTGGATGTGAATCAGTCATTTTTAAAGCATAGTTATGAAAGAATCTATGGCCAAGAGTCAGCACACCAACATAGAATATTGCTCTATAATTTAATTATGAGGCCCCTTGTAGTTTTTCCCTGTGTTTGAGGAATCATTTTATATTGTACTCTGCGACTTTAAGACATACTTTTAAATTTTTTCTCCTTGATCAATTGATGTTTCAGAAGCCCTCACACTTCCAGGTGTTGTTGATGTGATAACAGCAGAGAATGTTCCAGGAAATAATAGCTATCAGGGAGGAGTGCTCTATGCACAAAATGAGGTGCATGATTTGTGTGTGGCTTATTATTCAAATACTTTGCTGAAAATGCCAAGACAAATTAATGGTTGTGACTAATATCCATGGATTCATTTTCACATCACGAAGACTTGCACAGAAACAATGATTCCACCATCAGAATTTGATGCTCAAATTCTCTCTTGAATTGTGGACCCTTCTGGGATTATGATAAAAGCCAAAAGGAAAGTTTCAAAAGAGTCATAAAAGTCACAGAAGCAGTATAGAGCATAGACCATTAAAAGGACCAACAGAATTTCCAGAATTTCAGGATGACTAGATTATTACTATGTGTGATGTGGGAATGGCGAGGAATGTAGCTGAAGACAATCGCAGGCCAGATAATTAAGTTCTGCATTCATTTTTTGTACCCCCTAAATCCCACTGAAGCTACAGTTTTAAATTTATTCTCATAGGTAGAAAATCATATTTCTTTTGGTCACAAGAACCCAGTAGGGAAATGCAAGAATTTGGGAACAGTAAACTATTTTTAGGGATTCTATGTTTTAGCTAATTACATGTGGCTTTTCTGCAGGTAATTTGCGTGAGTCAGATCGTCTGCACCGTGGCTGCTATCTATGCTCATGCGAGAGAGGCAGCTAAAAAAGTGAAGATAACTTACAAAGATATAGAACTGAGGATTATCACAATAGAGGTAATCAGGCCACTTTATGTGTTCTAGAATGATTAGGGTGATGTACTGTTGGCAGAATTTGACCTTTTGGAGTCACAAAATTTGAGCTTTGTCCATACTTTCTTCAGTGTTATCTATAGTTTTAGAGAGAAGGCTCCAGCAATCTGCACCTTGAGACATGATACTGAGAATTTTCCTGCCTGGAGCCCCCTTTTCTTCCTGAGTCCACTTCTGCTTGCGTGGCCTCTTGGCAATGCATGTCCTAAGAATATAGATAAGCAACACTAGAGGAAGATTTTTGTGGCCTCACATACAAACTAGTCAGTGGAAAGATTCAGAGCACTGAGAAACACAGAACAGTTTAGCATTAACTGGATTACAGCTTGGGTCCTCTGTCTCCCTGCCCACTTCCTGCTTAAGCTCAAGCTCTAGAGATAGAATACTTGGATTCATATTCTGATTCTGTCATTTAATAGGCTAATAATAGCAATGAAAACTTGGATGAGTTACTTAAATTCCTCACTCCTCAGCTTCCTCACCTGTAAATGGGAACTATGAAAGTACCTACATCCAAAGGTCATGGTGAGGTTTAAATGAGAGAATCCAAGCAAAATGCTTAGAACTGCACCTAGAATATAAATCACATTCAATAAATGTTAGCTGTCATTTTTGTTTTGGGTTTTGTTATTAATGGGGTGCCTTATCCCCAGTACCTAGTGAAGTGCTAAAGCTATAGTAGGTGCTCAATAAATGGGTGTGATAGAGGGATAAACAGATAAATGCATGCATAAGCGATATGAAACCAGTGAAGCAGGATGCGGTCTTTCAGCCTTTTTGATTCTCTCCTGGTCTTCCCAACAGTTGCTAAGTTCAAGTTATTCCCAGTTATCCTTTAAATGCATCTTTCTGCTCCTTCCTTTCCTTTTTTGAATTTTTCAATGATGGCTGACGTATATTAGTTTCAGGTGTACAACATAATGATTAGACGTTTATATAACTGATAAGTCTAGTACCCATCTGACACCCTTCTTTCTATTCTCACTTTCACCCCCATCCCACCCTCCAACCCCGTCCTCACTGATGCTGGAGAGTTTGACAGAGTGGGAGTCCAAAAAGGGACCGGGACCTAAAGCTCCATGACCAGGTTCTTGTCTTATGCCTAGAGAAAGAACTAAAGGGCACAACATACAGCAAGCAGGAAAGCATTGATTTTATTAAAGTCAAAGTACACACTTAAGAGAAAGGTGTGGGCCACGCAGACAGTCTGCCCCAGCAGGGCTAAATTATGGGCTTTTGTTTTCTTGGGGGTAGAGGAGTGTCAAGCTCAGCCAACTGCTCCTTGGTAAAAAAAAAAAAAACAAAAACAAACAAACAAAAACAAACAAAAAAACTTTCTCAGCCAGCCTGGTCTTATTCTCATTTTAGCCTTTTAGCCTTTCAGCTTGGTTTTAACGTCAAACTTTTGTTTTACAAGATGCCCTTGGCTTCAAATGATTTTCCATCTCTCCTTTAATTGTCCTAATCCCATCCAGTTCGGCACATAATTTAGGTCACCTACACGAGACCATCGCTAAGCATTCCCAGCCCCACCAGCCTCCTCCTTCTCAGCCTCTCTTCATCTGTCCGCTCACCACAAAGTTGACACCTTAACCTAAGCTGCCTCAGGTCATCACCCAGCAAGCTAAATGGTAGAACCATGTGTAATATATCCTTGTCTTCCCCTCAGCTCACCCCCAGAGACCTGAATGAAACTAAGCAGTCACCAGTGCCTGTAATCCATTTTAACTGTTTCTGCTCTCCTGCTCAGATAATGTTAATGTGTGAAGGCCTGATGAGCAGGAGCATGAGATTTTGACGGGGATGAATGGCTTATTAAAACTCTTTTTGTTTGTTTGTTTTGGTTTGTTTGTTTTTTCCCTGCAGCAAGCCCTAGAGCACAATTCATTTCTTTCTGCTGAGAAGAAAATTGAGCAAGGAAATGTAGAGGAAGCCTTTTAACATGTTAATCAAATTATTGGAGGTAAGTGGTCGTGGGCCAGAAAAGTAAGTCACTGAAGTTCAAGATTCTAAATTCAATCAGTTGGTTTGAGAAATACTGAAAATTCTAAGGCAGAGCTTCTCAACCTTAGTGTAATTTTTAAAAACATGATTTGATATGCACAAATAATAAGTTTACGGCTTGGTAAAATTTTATACATACAGCAAACTATGTAAATACTACCCACATCAATATATAGAATATTTCCAGCACCACAGAAAGCTTCCTTGTGCCTCCTCTAGGTCGGTAACCTTCTGAAATGTCTTATTTTAACTTTTGTCACTATAGATTAGTTTTACCTGTTTCAAATTTCATATAAATGGAAACAAGAGTGTAACTTCTTTTGTGCCTACTTATTTTACTCAACATTATGTATAGAAGATTCATCCATGTTGTTGCATAGATCAGTAGTTCTTTTTTTTTTTTTTTTTTATTGCTCAAGAGTATTCTATGGTATAAATATTCCACAATTTATCTATTCTACCAGAACATCTGAGTTGGTTTCAACTTAGGGCAATTATGAATAAAGTTTCTACAAACACTGTTGTGGATGAAGAAGAGGCACCATAATAAATGTAATCAAAAGTAACCTCACAAGGTGATCTGATCATAAATTCCTAACTGGGCATGTCATAGCAGCTAGTCACACCCCAGGCCTTCTTTAGTAAAATGTTTATCTTTGCTTTAAGCAAGCCCTATCCACTGTTTCTGTGCATCTAGATTAACATTTTTGAAATGCCTCCTTTTTAGACCTCTCAAGAGAAACCACTCTCAATAAAGCACATAATCGTGTTAACTATCTTGTAGTCCAATCCTGCCTTGCTTTCTCCCACCTTCATGTAATCTTCTTTAGACTCCCTTCTTAATTCCAAATGTGTAAAAAAAACTACAAAACTGTTATTCTCTGAAGCATTTGAGATCTTGCTTCCTAGCAATGTCATCGGTTTGGCTCAAATAAACTTTTATAAAAATTCTTTTCTAGATTTGGATATTTTTACGTCAATACTATTATACATGTCTTTTGACAAATATAAGGACTCATTTCCAATGGAATATACTCAAGAGTAGAATTGCCAAATAATGTTTTTATATGTTTACCTTTAGTAGTTAATGCCAAACATTTTAAAAATTGTTTCGATTTTATTCTTATTAACAATTATAAAAGTTCCATTGTTCGGTTGTTATTGTCAGTCTTTTTAATTTTATGAAACTGGTGGTTGTATAGTAGTATCTCATTGTGGATTTAATTGAATTTCTTTGATGACTAATGATTTTGAATTCTTCTCATATGTATGTTGGCCATTTTTACATGCTCTTTGGTGAGATGTTTATTCAAGTCTATTGCTTGTTTTTTAATTCATTGAATTTAAAATGATCATTAATTATAATTATATATTATTGATTTTATTATAATTAATAATATAATAAACAATTTACTTACTGATTTATAGAAAGTTTTATGTTTTTACATGAATTCTTTTTTAGTTATGGGTATTGCAAATATCTTCTCCCAGCCCGCAGATTGTTTTTTCACTGTCTTCACGGTTCCCATTCCTGGACAAAATCTCTTGATTTTAATGAAGTTCAATTTATCAGTCTTTTTTATGATTAGTGCTTTTGCGCTGTGAAGAAATTTTTATCATGAAGATATTTTCCTATGGTTTCTCCTAGAAGCTTGATAAAATGGTTAGCTTTAGCATTTAGGTCTATGATCCATCTCAAATTAATTTTTCTGTATGGTGTGAGACAGGAACCAGGCTTCGATTTTTTTCAAGTGGATATCCAATTGGCCTCACTCTGTTTATTGCAGACTAATTTTTTCCTTATTCAATTGAAGTGCAGCTTATTGCTTTCCAGGTGTCTAGATTTGCATTGTTCTATTTCTGAACTCTCTGTTATATTCCACTCATCTGTTTATCTATCCTTGTACTAATTCCACACTATCTTACTTGTAACTCTATAGCAAGTCATAAAATCTGATAGTGTAAAGTCTTTTACCTAGGTCTTCTTCAATATGACCTTAGCTATTATAGGTTCTTGACATTTTTGTATATGTTTTTATCAGTTCATTAATTTCTACTGATAATAATTTGCTGGGATTTTGACTGGGATTTTGACTGGGATTTTATGTATGTTTTTATCAGTTCATTAATTTCTACTGATAGTAATTTGCTGGGATTTTCACTGGGATTACATTGAAACAATGTCAATTTGAGAAAATTAAAATCTTAACAACATTAAGTTCCTATCCATGGACATGATAGACCCTGCTGTTGACTTAAGTTTACTTTCATTTCTTTCAGTAATTTTGTAGTTTTCGCCATATTGATCTTACACATCCTTCTCAATATTTATTCCTAGTATTTGATGTTTTATGATGCTACAGTAAATGGTATTTTTATTTTAGCTTTCTACTTATTTGTGTCTAATATACAAAAACACAATTAGTTTTTGTATATTTACCATATACCCAAGAACTTTGCTGAATTCACTTACTATTTTAATAGTCTTATAGATTCTCTTCAATTTTCTGTGTGTACAACCATATCATAACAGTTTTATTTATCTTTTCCAATCTTGATTCTATTATTTATGCTTGTTTATTTGTTTGTTTTGACTTACTGTACTGGCTAACCCCTAGTTAGTATGACTTTTTTAAATGTCAGTATCCAGATCTCATCCCAGACCAATGAAATCAGAACCTTGGAGTATAGGGTCAAAGTATCAGAATTTTTTTAAAGCTCTACATGGGCGATTCTAAGGTGTAACCAGGGTTGAGAACCATAGCTGTCTTCACTAAGAGTATCGCTTCTGGTCTTAGGTAAGGGAAAATAATGATTTTCACAGGATCTATTACCTACTTCTAAATAACTGAATGGCAAGTACTATAAGCTTTTATCTTTTACTAAAATATGGGAAAGACCTTTAGAATGCTTAGTTCCCAACATCATTCTGTTTAAGCAGAAAATGTAGACAGCCTTCCAATTGTAAAAATAGTTCACTACCTCAGAATAGTAGTTAGATACAACCAGGAAAATCATGAAAGATGCCCAGAAGTTTGACAGTATCTGTGACTTGTGCCAAACATTCATTACTTCATAATGGATTTTATAAAAGAAACTAAATAAGATTTTACAAAGCCTATAAATTTGGGCTAAAGGTTATTTAATAATAATAATAACATTAGATAACATTTGTCAAGTACCTACTGTGCCAGACACCATGCTAAGTATTTTATGTGTATTATTTAATCCTGACAACAAACCTAAGAAATGAGTATTATTAAACCTATTTTAAGTTTCTAAGTATTTACTGCTTACTATTTAACATGCAAGCAGAGCAACTCTGAGAAGAAACATATTGGTAGCTCCATTTTACAGATGAGGAAACTGAGGCTTAGAAAAATTGGGTAATTGGCTGAGGTCTGATATCCAGTTAGCAGTAGAACCAGGACTGGGCCCAGGACTAGCTGACCTAAAGGCCCTTGCTCTTAACCACAATAGTATATTTTCTTTTAATTTTTATATTCACCCTAAGGGCAACAGAGTGACAGGGTGATAGTTTTTTGTCATTCAGGATTTTAGCCATTGTGGGAATTCAAAATTTTAGCACAGGTGGGAAATTTGAAATATGAAGGGAATTTGGAATTTGGGCGGAGCATGCCAACATAGAGAAACAGTATAGTTAAAAACATGGGTCCTGGATTCAGGTTGTCTGGGTTTGAATCCCAGCTTTGTTATTTACTGGCTGTGTAGCCTTTGGAAGCTTATATAACTTTTCCATGTCTGTTTCCTAATAACACCTGCTTCAAAAGATTGGTATGGGAATTAAATGAATTAATTATCTATAAAGTGCTAAGCCTTAGAACAATATCCAGCATATTATAAAAACTATGTAGTTGTTAAATAAATTTGAATTTAGATTAAACTCAGTATATACATGTTAAAAGCAAAGATTTTTTGTTTTGTTTTGTTTTGAGATTTTTTGCATGATTCACATTCTGTTGTCTTAAAAAATAATTTCAAGAAATCCTTTGATTCCTGGCAAAACAATTCATGTATTATAACAACGCAGAAGTCTTTTGGCTAGTTTTAAATTTAAAATAGTGCCTTCTAAACATTTAAACTAGGACAAATGTCTCTCTTGGTACAACCTACAAAATGATAAAGATGTATTAAACAAGCCAAAAATCTCAGATAAACCGGTAAGAACAGGCTGGTTCTAGGTTAGGTAACAGTTCTGCTGTTTTAAACCTTGGTGTCTTTAAGCAAGCTGCTTATTCTCTCTATGACTCAGTTATGCCAATGTCACTTAATTGAGGTGCATATTATTATTACTCACCATTTTACAGATGAGGAAATGAGGGTTTAATCACTTGGCCAAACTCATTGAGCAAGGAGATGACAGAGCCTGGATACGTGATCAGGTTGAGCATGTGCACTCAAGTCTAGCACATCACGGATCTCATCACCCGACTAGACAGATGAGAAAACTGAGGCCAAGAGACGGGGAGTGAATTACCCAGGGTCACAGTGAAGATTAATTAGAAAAAGTGGTTTAACCAAATGATATAAAGTCCAATTCTCCATAAGCTGAAGCAACTAGCTCTTTATAAACCAAACACCACTGAGAGCCCCCAAGATGGGACTTTCGAGTAAACATTGCTTATGCTTTACAGATGAGATCCACGGGAAGGACAGGAACATTTTTACATGGAAATGCAAACTATCCTGGCTATCCCAAAAGCAGAAGATAAAGAAATGGTGTTATACCTTGGAACACAGTTTCCAACTCATGTGCAGGTAATAGGGTATTTTGGGAAAATGAGACTCCAGATGACTGTGTGACGTGAGGCTCTTACAACCAGGCATTCTGCTCTAGGGGCCTTTTGATTTCTCCCACTCCTGTGCCTCAAACTTCTGGCACACTTGACATTAGCCAAAGTCCAGAATGAAGAAAATGGAGCAAATATTTCCTTAAAAGAGCAGACCTTTCGAAGAGACCTGAAATTTTTGCTGCCTTCCAAAATATAGGGCAAAATTCACCTTTCCTTTATAACAATTAATAGTGTAAAACTTAATCTCAGGGGGATCAAAACGTTAGTATAACATTTACATTTCCCTATGTGTCCCTTTGTGGTTTGTCTGCATTGCTTTTCTATATGAATGTTTTCATGTGTTAGTGGTACATATGTATTTAAATTTCCCTTTGTGATTCATTTGTGTTGCTTCTCTATATGAATGTGTTCATGTATTGGTGGTGTACATGTAAAGGGATTGCATTTCCAAGACACTTCAGCCCAGCACATACCATGTGAATTTCAGTCCTGTTTTAGTGGTTGAGATATAAGGCATTGCCGCCCCCTGGCAAGTAAAGAAAATACTCTGACATTCCCTTCTTTTAAAATGTGGAGTTTTAGGCCCTAGAATAATGCCAGATACAGGAGCATACTTAAACAGTTATACTGGGAAAAGGAGTAATAACAAGTATCACTGAGAGGAAAAGCTAGGGGCTATGTGTTAGAGCACAGTGAGTTGGTACCTTGGGGTCCTAAAGGACTGGGTAGGCTCTATGGGAGGAGGAAGCTACCAGCTGCCAGTCAAGGCAAAATGAAAGGGCAGGGGACTGATGCTGAGATGGGAAGTGGCTGCAGCCTCCATAGTTGCAAGTTTTGAAGTTCACAGAGGAGTGAGGACATATGGGCTTTGCCCCTAAGCAGCTACATGATCCTCTACAAGTCACTGGGCTTTAATATCTTTTTCTGTAAATTGAGGAAGGTGACAAAGATCACTTCTGAGGTCCCTTTTAGTAGACAATATATGGCTCTGGGCTCCAAATGGATAACATGTATGTTCCAAGGTCACCATTGCTATCTGCCATTGACACCTCCTAAGGTACACTCGGTCAGCCCCCAAACAGCAGGCATTTCCCAAGAGTAGCTAAGACACTGGGTACTCACAGTCAAACAGCCCAGAACCTGAGGCAATATCAAAAGCAGGCCCAAGAAAGGATTTGGATAGACATTTCTCCAAAGAAATTCTACAAATGATTTATAAGCACATGAAGAGATGTTCATCATCATTAGTCACTAGGGAAATGCAAATCAAAACCAAAAATACCACTTCATATCCACCAGAACGGCTATAATCAACAATAACGAGTGTTGGCAAGGATATAGAGAAATTAGAACCTTCATACATTGCTAGTGGGCATGAAAAATGGCACAGTCGCTTTGGAAAACAGCTTGGCAGTTTCTCAGGATGTTAAAGATAGAGTGACCATATAACCCATATAACCTAGTTTCACAACTAGGTATCTATCTACCCAAGAGAAATGAAAGCATATGTCCACACAAAATCTTATACACAAGTGTTCATAACACCATTGTTCATAATAGTCAAAGTATAAACAACACAAATGTCTATCAATTAATAAATGGATTGAAAAAAAAAAGTGATATATCTATACAATGGAATATTTCCAGCCATAGAAAAGGGTGAAGTACGGATACATGCTACAACATGGATGAACCGTGAAAACAATGTTCAGTGAAAGAAGATGGTCACAAAAGACAACATATCATATTATTACATTCATATGAAATGTTCAAAACAGGCAAATCTGTAGAGACAGAAAGCAGATTAGTAGTTTCCTAGTGCTGAGGCATTATGGGGAGTTAAAGTTGGGGGAAATAAGAAGTGATTGCTTAATAGATATAAGGTTTCTCTGGGGATGCTTAAAATGTTCTAAAATTAGTTTATGATAATAGTTGCACAGTTCTGTAAATGTTATATTTGTTGAATTACTGAATTTCTTTTACTAGGCAGAGGGGAAGTACATGAGAGAGGAAATAAACTATTAAATTGTACTTATGTGGCTTTGGGGACTTACCTCTTGCAGGAATTTGTGGCTGCAGCACTAAACATCACCTGCCATATGAAAAGAGCTGGAGGAGCATTTGGAGGGAAACTGGGCAAGTCTGCTCTGCTAGGAGCTGTCAGTGCTGTGGCTGCCAATAAGTAAGAGTTGCAGTGACAGCTATTAATGTCAGAAGTCCTAACAGTGCAGATGCCACCCACGCTCTTCTAGCCTTGCATCCCAGCTTTCATTCCACTGGTCTTAACTTTCATTTCCAAAGGATGTGGTTAGCATGTGGGTGAAGGAACATTGGACCTGGACCGAGAGGACCTGTGTTCAAGTCCTGCTCTGCCCACTCACTCACTCACAAGGTCACCTTAAGCAAGTCACCTCAGTTTCCTTACCCATAAAGTGGGAAAAGTAATATCTACCTGTTTCACAAGATACTTGTGTGGTATAAATGTAATCACTGTAAATTTTAACTTATTGCACAGACATAACTACATATTACTTTTTCGTAAACTGCATCGACTTTCACTCTTTAAAATGTTTATTTTAAATTGTTAAAATAAATTAAGCTGAGATGGCTGAGTGGAGGGAGGGTCAAAGCCCCAACCTTACAAGGGAAACTTTTTGTCATGAAATACCCCAGGGTCTGCTGCTGCGTGGGACTGTTCACTTAGCCTCTGCATCATATGGAGGGAATAACCAGACACAAGAATAGCTATGACTTTTGTGAACTTTGTACATACCAAAGTTCACTAAGTACATTCAGGACAAACAACTTATTCCAGCCTATAGCTACAAAAAGAAAAACTGTAAACATCTTAACTCATTGGCTTTTTCTAACAATAGAAAAGACTGTCCTATATCTACAGATGTGCAGGCACCGGGAACATTCCCTCAGGAGCTAGAGTCCTTGATGGGCACTTTATGAAAGGGGAGTCAATGCAAGGGAGGGCTGAGCTCGACAGAGCATTGGTTTTTAACACTTTCGGCCTCAACATTTCCCTTATTAAGTATTTTAATGCCCGCTTAAATAGCCAAAGTGAAATTCATGATAATATAACCTACTTATACATATAATTACAAAATATCTATACAATGCCTTAATGTAATATTAAAAAGCAATAAAAGGAAGGTAACTTATAACCAAATAGTTGTATTATTTCGATATCTAAATTTTCAGACATGACTAAACCAAAATGATAATAGCAATAGGGATGTTGTTGTTTTACATTTTAATATTTCCGCAAACTTGTAAAATGTTGTGTAAGGTATGTTACTACCCCCATTGAAAACCACTGAGCTAGATTATCTCCAGCCTCCTTTTGCCATCTCTGTGTTTCTATAACTTTTTACAAAGCATCCAGCATATTAATGGAGTCATTTCCTACAGGACTGGCTGCCCAATCCAGTTTATTCTAGAGCGTGGTGATGACATGCTGATAACTGCTGGCCGCCACCCACTCCTCGGAAAACACAAAGTGAGTGAGAGCAAAAATTTCAAGAAACTACCTACAACATTGTCCAGCAATAACCAACCAATAGTGAAGACAATTACTAAATTTTACACAAATTGAAAGGGATATTTAGATGCTACCTAAAACTAATCAGAATTCTCTATTGAGATCATGGTCAACTTGGGCACCATACTCATTGTTCCTCTGGTGACTATCACATCAAATCATGTGCAGAAACTAGGTATAGATTGACAACTGTGATCAAATGTATTTATGTCCAGCATGGTCTGGTTCTAAAGGACTATTGAGAAAATGATTTTCCTTGTTATATCACTTTGTGGATTGGGTTTATGAACAATGGTGTGATCAAAGCTGCTGATCTTGAATATTATATCAATGGCGGATGCGCTCCTGATGAATCTGAGATGGTAAATAAGAAATATGCCTTTCCTATAGATTACCAGTTGAGCTCTATGTGTAACTTTATTTGTATGAATATTTGTTTTACAAATTAATAAATTCTGTGAAAGGTTCAAGTTAGCAATAAAATTTGAATAAGTGGTTTCGAATATTTGATAGATGTGATGTTTCGTTTTGTTTTGTTTTGTTTTAACTCAGGTGATAGAGTACATTGTGCTGAAATCTGAAAATACATATTATATTCCTAATTTCTGGTGCCAGGGTAAAGCTTGCAAAACAAATTTGCCATCCAACACTGCCTTTCGAGGACTTGGCTTTCCCCAGGCTACAGTGGTAGTTGAAGCTTATGTAACTGCTGTAGCAACTCAATGTGACTTACTACCTGAAGAAGTGAGTAATCAGTCAGAATCACTTAACAAAACTCTGACATCATTGGTTCAAATGTATATTGAGCATCTACATATAGCATTATGTCAACTTCTAAGTAGATTCAAAGAAATAAAGTATATTATCTATGTATCGGTTAGCTTTTGCTGCGTAAGAAGTCAATCATAAAACTTAGTGGATTGAAACAGCAAACAGTATTTCTTCTGATTCTGTGGGTCAGCTGCTGGGTAGCTCTTCTTGTCTGGGTCAGCTTAACTGGAATTTTATGGTCTAAGACAGCTTCATTTCCATGTATGGTGTCATTCATTGGCTGGTTGGTCTAAGGGATGTCTCAGCTGGGAAAGCTCATCTCTGCTCCACAGGGTCTCTCATCCTCCAGTAAACTAGCCCAGAGTAGTTCTCATGGTGATTCAGAGAGTTTCCAGGAGTAGCAAGAACGTGGTAAGCTCTAATACACAAGTACTTGTCAAGTCTTTGCCTGCATTACATATGTGTTGTCCCATTGGCCAAAGTAAGTCATGTGGCCAATCCCAGAGTTGGTATGAAACCACCCCAGGGCATGAATAGGGAAAGTGGCATTATTATAGTCATTTATGCAAACATTCTACCACAGTTCAGATTTTGAGGAGCTAATGTAAGAACAGTTAAGATAAAGAAACATTGTATAGGAGTAGAAGAATTTTGAATCAAAGAATTTTGTCTCACCACTAACAAAACTTGTCACAGGGCTCATAATAGAGCCTCCTATTTCTCAGGTTTATTGTAAAGTTAATTGAGATCATATATATAGTCTACAGCCTGCAGCATATGAAGTGTTCAACAGTAGTTTCTATTGTTATTATGATTATTGTTATTATCATGTTTGTATATTTACTTTGTACTTACATATTTATAGCTATTTAAATAGTTGTTTCTTTTTTTAGAAAAACTTTGTTCATGTCAGGTATATAACAAAAAAATGCATGCTTCACATATGGAATAAGCATATGTCCTTGAAATCCTTTTTATTTTCTTGTCTTTCAGGTTAAAGAAATAAACATGTATAAGAGAATTAGCAAAACAGCCTATAATCAGACATTTAATCCAGAGCCCTTATGAAAATGCTGAAAGAATGTCTGGAGAAATCTTCATTCCATGCTAGGAAACAGGATGCCGAGGAATTTAATAAAAAGAATTACTCGAAGAAGAGGGGGCTGGCCGTGGTCCCCATGAAGTTTACCATTGGGATCCCCATAAGCTATTGCACTCAGGTGAGGTTGGGAGACATGTCATCCCACCAAAAGCCCTTCTGTACATGACTAGCTATCTGAAAATAGTAATCATGAGTGACTAGGGTTGGTCCTCTCTCAAGAGAAAGAAGAAACTGGGAAGTTTCTCTATTGCAGAAAACAAAGTGGGCTTAGATAAGCACTGGGGACCATGGGTATCAGGGAAGATATGGCACTAGGGACCTCAGGAAGCAATCAACTAATAAAGTCCAGCTCAAGGCAGGGCCCCAAACATGAATGCTGAGGTATGGGATCAAATTGCGAGTCCATAAAAGAATTGGGAAGAACAAGAGGACCCCTTTCTCTCTTTCCTAATTTCTTAGTGACAGCAGTAGGGTTATTTGGAGACAAAACTTTCAAAAACACATGAGAATAGACAGAGAATCCCCATTCACACAGAAAGCCAGAGTTACCATTTAGGCTCTATGACTACTGTGCCTTCTTTTTAGTTTCATCTGAAACAGTTTTTTGTGGGGGTCTGTTTCTGATTCTGTCTTATCAATCTCTGAAAGGTCTTGAAAAGCAAACCATACAAAGGAAAGAATACAGGCCCCCTCACGATGTGGAGGAGGGATGTCCAAGCTGTCCCTTACCAAAATTACATTGTATTTATTCCCTTCCTCAGAGTCCACTGACAAGGTAGAAAGCAAACTGAGGAGGCCACAAATGCTACATGCCTGGAGCAGATGTTCAGTCTTTCCCTCAAGGAATATTTCTCAAGCCAGATAACAAACAGATCTCCTTTAAAGGGAAAAATTCTGTGGACTCCCAATGGCTGCTTAAATTATTTATTTTGATTATATAATTGTATATAACCACAAAACAAAGAATAAGCTTCTTATAGCTCTTATGTCTTTATAAAACACAAATGAATTTAGAAATTAAATAAGAGTAGTACTATATAAATCCAATAATATTCAAAATAGTAACATTAACTTAATGTGGTAAATTATGTTGCTTTTCCAAAACTAAATCCTCACTCACAAAATGGTGGTGGTTCTGGCTGCTACTGCACTTCATGTCATTTTGAAGTCTTTATACTAAATGTCTAGGTAGGGTGTGATGACTCATTCTCCCACATTTTGTCTCTAACATGCCCCATCAATTAAAGTAGTCCTACCTAGTGTTTATACAATCATCAACATAAAATCTAACGTAGGTTCTGAGAGCATGTGGCAATACCCACTGATACATGTTCACCCATTACTCTTGTTAGGTTGTCATGAGGTGAAAACACAAAGTTTAAAAATTCCTGTAGAGACTACAGTCGTAGACCCAGGAGACCGGCATAGCTAAATTAGTTGATACTTTGAATGAATGCATGTTAGCAGGGGCACAGACTTCAATATGGGGATAGAGGTCTTAAGGAGGTAGATGCAAGATGCTGGGCCACATGCTTGAGCATACATTGGGGACCATTCTAAGGAAAAATCCTAATGACTCACAGAACCACCTGACATAGCCCAGCCTCCTTCCTCACTCCCTCCTCCATCTGGTTCCCGGAGACACATGCCTAGCCCCAGAGAGGGACAACAGCCGTTAGCTTGAAAGAGGTAGGACAGCATGGGAGGATGCTGGGCTCAAGTCCGGAGTTGTGGGTTCCATTGCTGACTTTACCACAAACTAGGCACCAGGTTTGGCCAAGCCTCTTCCTTTCTAGGTTTCTATTCCCCCATGTGCAAAGTGAATAATTTGGACTAAATCAATGGATCCCAAACTTGGCCAATCATCAAAAACACCGGGGGGCATTTTAAAAAAATGGGTATTTAGGCCTACCTCCAACCTTCTACTGAATTGGAATTCCTAGGATGCAGCCATGCCCTTCCCCCACCGTGACTCTGAAGGTCGGAGGCAATGGGAAACTATCAAAACATCTTGGGGTTTTCCAGCTCCTCTGGTATCTAGTGGAAGCTGCACCTGGAAATTTACTCACAAAGTTTCCATTTACTTTAAAATTAATTTTTTTATGTGCAAGGAAGAAAGAATACTAAAATATTGTTCAGGTTGGAGCTTTGGAGAGGCAGTTTCTAAGGCAACCATGTGAGGCCTCCAGGAGGCAGGAGACAGTGGGAGTAGAGATAAGCCACCATTCATCTACCTACAGTGGCAGTTTCCAGGTCTCGGGGATTGTTGAAAAGGGTTGTCTATAGCCACCAATAATAGCTTTCTTCTCCAGTATAAACAAAGAGAGGTTGGCTCAATGGAGTAAACCATTCATCTGACAACCTCTGTTAAACTCATAACATTCGGCTGCATCGGTTTCTAAACTGGTATTTTAATTAATCCCCCGGCCTCCAGGCTGCCGCTCTTGTTCGTATCTATATTGATGGCTCTGTCTTGATGACTCATGGTGGCTGTGAATTGGGACAAGGGCTCCACACCAAAATGATTCAGGGAGATGAGTATCCATTTTCTCCTCTGACTATAGCACCAGACAATCAGTCTAACAGCCTGTTTCTTGTTGAACAGGAGAAATGCCATCACACTAAATGCAAAGGTCAGTTATAAGACTCATTCTGATATCAGGAACACAAGAATGCAGGTGCTGATGGACGTGGATGCTTGAAAGGAGAAAATATATTACATTCTTCCTGCATATTAAAGAACCAAGTCCTTAGATTTTCTAAAAATGTGATTCCAGTCTTCAAAGATAAAATATCTTTCAGTTTTATGACAACTGCTCAAAGCAGTTCATTAGAAATGAACATGTTTAATAGGATGAGAAATTATGTTTTTAGAATTCACAATCCACTTAGGAACTCCACCTGACAGGCCATTATTTGTGCTAATTCAGAGTCTTTCAAATACTGTTGAAAGAGCAAGAGATTATTTGCAATAGGAAATTTTCTCTTCTTTTTTTAACATTAAATAAGAATTCATTGAATATGATTTTTGAATCAAAAACATGGCTATTTGGGAGTAAAGCTTTTCTATCAATGAGAAATAAAAAGAAGATATTTTCTTTAAGGAAATAATGTTACTTAATAGTGTGCTTGGAATTAGGAAATCAGAAAAATCCATAGGGCCTTCCCTGAACAGATCTTGCTTCTTTACAACAAAATCTTTATGCCTGCAAAATGTCCCAGGAAGGAAACATAATCTGCTAAGTGTCTATAAACCATGAGGAGATGATGAAGGTAAAACAATAAGATCGGGACCTCAACTTTGCCTGTAAGTGTCATACTAAACTAGATGCCCCAGAGTAACTATACTGCCACATGGCTTCTATGAAATCGGCGTGAAAGAAAACACGAGAAGATTCTTTGATAGGCTACGTGTCTCTGAAAAGGAGCATATCTTTTACAGTGCCATTTAAAATTTTCAAATTCATAATCTATATATGAGACCCAAGATGCTATCTTAAATGTTTGTCCCTATAGGATAGCTAGGTTTTATATTTAGTTCAAAAAAGAGTTTAAAGATTTTCAATTTGGGATGAAAGGAGACTTACAGTCAATGAAATAAATAATTTTTTTTTTCTGCTTCTGGCAGGTGGCTAGTCAAGAGCAGAACATCCTCTCATCATATATTCACCTGTCTGAAACAAGCACAATCACAGTGCCCAATACTGTCATGACGGCAGCGTCCGTGGGGACAGATAACAACGGAAGGGCCATGCCCGTGACTTTTCTTTTATTTCTCAGTCACCTAATGACAGTGCTCGAAGGATTCTTGTCCCACCACTTCTTTAATGGAAGCTGAAACTTTTATGGAGGCCAAGAGAGGTCAGGTGGCTAGTTCTAGGTCACTCAGCTACCACTGGCAGAGCCGAGATTCCAAGTGGTCGGAGCTCCCTCTGTGGCCTTCTTCTTCCCTCCTCTTAAATAAAGTCTACCCGTAATTTTTCTAATCATTCTAAGATAATGAAAAATCTATTGATCAATTTTATTTCCAGAAAACATCTCATTTCAATAATTAAAATGTCTTGTCTAAAATTCCGAAATGTACTTCAACC